GCACTACATCTCAGTCTTGGAGACGATGAGTTTTTTATGTTATCTATTAGATTTTAGAGGTAAATTTGACATAATATGTAGGTTAAAATGTGACAGTTCTTCTTCTATTTCTCAATACTGTAAGTTAAGTTATCAAGTTTTATGAAATATGCAGATATTAATGAATGTCTCTAAATTGTTTTAATTAAGATATCAAAAGTAAATGGACGTGTTTAATATTGGCTTACTTTAACAATCTTTAATTAATTAAATTTAAATGTAACAATACGAGTAATTCAAATACCTCCCCTAATATAACTAACTCAGTTTAGTCCAAATTACAGAACAAATTACAGTGATTATTTGGCAATTAAACATGTACATTTGTAATCAAAACATATAACAAATTTACAAAATTTATTTGAAAATAATGTTGATGTGAGTTATCTGCCATGGTGTGTATAAATATTTTTTTAAATATTTAATTCAAGTTCTGATATATTAATATGTAACTAAAGTAATAAGTGAATAATTATTGATGGTAATTAATTTATGAAATCCAGAAATTGACTGAATTATTAAACCTTCAATAATTATTAGAATTTAGTCAAATTAGTCAATTAAGAATTTAGTCATAATTAGTAGATTAGATTAGATTGTAATAGTCTACTACAATGTAATAGACTATTTTAAAACAATTTGTGGGTCTACCTTGTCTGTTAAAACTTTTTATACCTTTTTATTCATTTTGAAAAACCACAGACATGTAATATTGGCATAATTACTGGAATTTATAACACCTACTTTATCTTTATTAGACAATACTCTAATATGGGTTTATTATTATTTCAGCATTTATTTAACTTTGTATCGAGACCTGAAGACGCTTTGCATATTGTAGAAAGCAAAACCGGTCGTCTGGATAGTTAAATTAAATTGATTGTGAGTAAGTCTTATTTATTATTTTTTTACCTATTAACATTTAAAATCATTGTCATCGACGTAGGGTCGCATTATAATTTAAATTTAAATATGTAAACTATACATTGATGTCTCCACTGCAAATTTAGTGTTAGCTACAAGTACCAAAAGAAGGCACTAAGGATAATGTGAACTAGATCGAAAACGTTATGCATTTATAATTTTTTAACGATACTTTTAACAAGTTTTCATTAAATGTTTTTATACCAATATACAAATTTTGTTTACAAAATTTTTTACTTTATAAGTTATTTAATTAAGATTTTAGACTATTTAGTCTTATTAGTCACTCTCTCAAACTGTTTCTCAAGATACTTCTTATTAAAATTAAGCAGAAATGTAAACCAATAATGTAAAACGAAAAAATTCAAAGATTATGTGAAGTACAGAAACCAATTTACGTCTGCTTTATAGATTTTGAAAAGGCGTTTGATAGTGCCAAATTTGATAGGCTGTTTGAGTATGTAGAAATGATTGTAATAGATTCTAGAGATCTGAGACTTTTACAACATATATATTGCAATCAAGAAGCTTCTCTTTTGGTAGATGGCAAAGAAATAGACAAATGTTTCATTTAACAAGGTGCCAGACAAGCTTGTGTATTATCCCCAACTTTGTTTTACGTGTACCAAATATTCTATTTCTTATACTAGAGAATACTCCAATAATGGATAAAAAAAAAATAAAACGTGCAAAAGAGAGTATTTATGGTTTCGAGGTTTGTGGCCTAAATACAATGTTTTTCTTATTTTAAGTTTATTCATAAGCTTTCTGCCATGTCCAACTCGTCTTAATACTCTTTGTATGGGACTTTTGCAAATCTCAAAGGTCGAAGAAAAAAGGACAATTGGTAGGAAGAAATATCCATCAGGCTTAATAGCGAATGGATTGTTAAATGCCGCGCAAGATCGAGAACAGAATCGAGAAATAGTCATGGAAGCCTTCTTCTTAGAGTGCCGTCTTCCTACGGAGGTCGGCAATCATAATGGCTATTTTTATTTTAGAACTTGCTGCTCTAAACAAAGCCGTGGAAGCCAGCCCACATAATTTGCCATCCACGTAATAACCTTTTCTTCCGACAGTACATTTATAGTTTAGCGTTGAAAGCCACCATTATTGCACTTTTACGTAGAGAAACGACGTTGCAATGAAAGGAAGAACCCGAAACACGTTTAGAATAATGATTGAGTTCAAATTAATGCAATCTTTTGTTTTCATTTTAATTTCAAAGTCTTTTCTCCACGTGAAAAGTGTGAAAGATGATGTTACTCAAGGGCAAATTGTCGTAATAAAAGGTTACTCTTAAATATGGTCCAACAGCATCCAGTAAGCTTGGATTTGCAATTCACTTAATTTGTCACTAAAAATAAGTCTCCTAACTTTTATTGTTGCTTTATACTATAAAATTGTTTCTAAGTCAAAATTTAATTTGTCGGAATACGGTTAATTTAAAATTATACAATTATAAAATATTTATTTTACCTTTTCTGTTGTTTTGATCTTTTACATAAGCCAGTATGTTGCAACGCATTGGAAAATTTATTAATCGATTTAAACCAAGCTCTTGTCTCTTTTGTGCCCTGTTTTCTTAAATATATATCGTGTTATTTGAGTGCACTGACAATAATTGTTCGTATTAATCATAACGTGTGTTTTATTTAGATTATTACATCACTGAAGATGGAATGTATGCCTGCAGGCGATGTCAGGCTTTATATGTCCACAAAGCGAATTTGGGAAGACATGTTAAGTGGGAATGTGGCGGTGAAAGAAAATTTATCTGCCATAAGTGTAACGGCAAATTTAAGCAGAAATCTCATCTCAAGTATCACCAGAAGTCAAGAAATTGCACCTTCAAAAATTCTACATTTGTGGTCTCAGATCCTTAATTTGCAATCTAATTTTTGTACTAATTCCAAAAGAGTCTATAGTTTTCTTATTCCGTTTATGAAATAACATAAATACTTGCTAGTTATAGTATTATTGATATTTCTACCAAAATTGAAAAATATGTTTAAGACTGTTACTTTCAATAAAAAATCAAAACTCACTGAAATGTCTTGTTTAACTTCTTCTATTTATTCATAGATGCTCTAGTGGGGAATTTTTTATCTGGACATTTAAAAATATTTGTAAAATTTTCTGTTTTTTTTTTCATGGAGATCAGCAAAGTTAACTGATTTTCTGAATTAAGAGTTTCATTCGAGATCATAGATTCTGGTCCTTCAAATACGGATGAATAATTATTACCAGCTACCAGCAAAGCTATCAAGAAAACATCTTTATTTCTAAAAATACGACGCCGTATTTGCTGGCTAAAATCCCTACGAGGCTGCATTTTACATAAAAACTGGTTGAGTACACTAAAACTGGGTAAAAATAAGGTCAGTCCATTCCTTTTATCAATTTCAAAATATTTACAATCTATTTGATTTGTTTTATATGGTTTTCAAACTAAATTATACATTTTATTATTTCGAATAGTGATATCATTTACATTAAAAATATTCTTATTACTCTCGTATTCATTGAGAATTTGATAAACTGATTTTATTATACCAAATTTTAAGTAATACAATCGTTAATACATACCTACATAATATTTTTAATATCTAAACCATTTACCGCTCTTGTCTCTACTTGAATGAAACATATTTTTTATTTATTTTTACACTTATAGTTCATCATCATTTTATAATCATCGAAGCTTATTTAGATATTTATTTTTAAACAACAAACACATTTTCGTAATTAAACCTGTGTAATATAAGTACATTACATACATTACACTTCATCCCTTATATTAACAAACGTACATATTTATTTTATTATTTTACAGCTTTACATATTTAATCATACTATTAAAACATGTTTGATCTGAGAACACAACTAAGAAAATAGCCGCTAAAGGTGTTCTTACTTGCTTCACAACATACTTTAGAAACATACTGAAACTATCGACGCCGTAGACTTAGAAAATCGGTTATCCAAAGCCAAGGAACTTTAAGAGGTTTTTGTTTTTAATGAGGCTCAACTGCTTATTGAAACTGATGACCCTCACTGAGAGAAAAACTATGATACAAAATATGCGATTGAAAGACAGTCTTTTTAATAGCGGCTTCCCACGGTCGGCTATATTGCGGACGTAAGCGGACCAGCACGCACCACGCACCGTGGGAAGGGTCTCGTCCGTGGTAGCACAGGCACGTCCGTGTTGGTGCGTCCTATCCATCTAGAGTCGGTAACATCAAAGGTGCGGTACATACTCGTGCGACGCGATCCTAGCGCGTCTGTGTTTTAACAGACGACAAGTGCAAGTCAGAAGTTTTTCGTTCGCTGACACGAGTAGTTGTCTGTAGTGTTGTCAAAGTTGTTTTGCAGTTTTTTGCTAAAAAATGGAATGGACAAACAAAGTTGTTTTTGATTTTTTAAATTTGTATCAAGATGAACGAGGTTTATGGAATTCCATGGCGAGAGAACATAAGAACCGGAACGATGCATACGATGCATGGAACCTAATAAAAAATCAATTGAAGAATATTACTATTTCGATTAAAGAATTAAAAAAGAAGAGAGATAAGTTAATGTCGACATACAAAAGGCAAAAAACAAAAGTTAGAGAATCGATGGGAACTGGTAGTGGGGCTGATGATGTTTACAAGCCTGAGTGGCCTTTTTATGATATAATCAAACACACTGTCACGGACCTACACAGACTGTCACGGACCGTAGGAAGAGCTCTGTCTGCAGTGCGTTGCCGTCCGTGCTGATCGGCTGTCCGCGATGATCTGTAGAATTGCCGATCGTGGGAAGCCACTGTAAGACAGATATTTTAAAATAATATCTGACACTAAAAAACTTATCCTCATCTAGACAACCTACTGAATCGTCTGATTCATGCAGTGTCAACCGTTCAAAAGCAGCTGGTTCTACAAATACGAGCAACATTAAATTACCTTTATGAAATTTACCAACATTTAATGGAACGTTTGACCAATGGCTCTTTATTAAATTTCGCAACAGTTTTAATTTCATTATTAATGACAACACCACTTTCAAATGTACAAAAGTTTTATTACCTACGTCTTTCTTTACGAGGCATATCTGCAGACACTATTAAATCTTTGCAAGTCTGTGATGCTGATTATGATATTGCTTGGGCTTTACTAATTGAAATATTTGAAAGCAAACAATTACTTGTAAATAATTATATTAAAGCCATCTTTAATCTACCGGTAATTGCAGAAGAATCAAATCAAGGTCTCAGACAACTTCTAGATAATAATCAAAAACATTTAAGCGCATTAGAAGTTTTGCAACGCCCTAGAGTAGCACAAATACAGAATCTGACTAATTTTGAACTTTGGAAATATGTTAAAACTGATGACAATCCAGCAGAGCTCTTGTCACGAGGTATAAATCCTTAATTACTCATTAATTCGAACTAATGTTCCCATGGCCCTTCTTGGCTCACTTTTCCCCAAGAAGAATGCCTCAATATACAAAACATCAAGAAGTTTGTATAACTTCTGTACTACCTGAGCTACGTAAAAAACTGTTATGTTTTATCATATCGACAATGAATTTATCTTTTGTAACAAATATTCTTCTTTAAATAAGTTAAAACGCGTTTTTGCTTCTGTATTGAGATTTAAAGACAATCTGTTGAACCCTAGACATTTACGAATTACAGGTCCCTATCCACACTCGAACTCAGTACTTCTCTTTTAACATTAATTAGGTTTGTATAAGTTCGTGAAAGAGATATCAAATGTAATTTCATAAAATATAAACAAATATATATATATATATATATATATATATATATATATATATATAAGGATCACTCAGACGAGTGGTGGGTTCTTATATCGGTCTCTAGGTGGAGAAATAAAAGACAAAGTTGATAGGCTACTTTATCTATTTTGAAGACGTTTCGCTTTCGAGTTTTGAAAGCATCATCAGTTCATCTAAAAAATTATTACAATATGAGAACCACACAATCATGGAAACGATGTTAATTGTTACCTTAAAAAGATATGTAGCAGTCAATGTTATTAACAAATATGTGAATGAAACTAAGTAAATGGACATAGTACGCTGATCTTGTATAAACAGTTAAGCAACTAACAACATATATGAACTTGTACAAAAATTAGCACAGCAATTGACCATGTGGTCCAAAATAAATTCAATGTTATTTATATTAATAAGTGAGAAAGAACCAAGAAAATCATAAATAACCTCCAACTATTTAATGGATATTAAACTTTGATTTTAACTTTAGGTAGCATTATAAGTAATATTAATAAAATTCTACAAAATAGTGAATATGAGGTTACCGATCAAAGCCTTGTGGATGTCGCCGTGAAAATGGCGTTAGATGAAACAGGAACGAACTAACCGCAAAAAGACAGCCAACCTTGAGGTCAAAATTACTTTTGACAGATCAAACAAGGTGTAAATACCAACCCAGAATTTTGGGCGGTTAATTTAATTTTTATATTTTATAACTGAGTCTGGATGACTTCCAGGTTGTAAAGGACAACAACAGTAAAAAAAGTTGGTAGTGTACACACAACTCCCCTCACTAACCGGCCCAAATTTACAAACCGGAGATTTGCATTCAAACTCATAATAATGTGATGACGTTAATCATGTGGCAAGTTAAAAAGTCAGGTGATTAACGATATTATAATCTCCATACAGCCCAAGGTTCACTATACTTGGAGCTGTGATTTGTAAAGGATTCTATGAATCAATCACAATGTTTGTATTATTTTATATATAATTTAAAACTCTAATCAAAGAATTTAGTATAATGAAATGCAATATGGGTTGCATATGTAATAGTAAAATTAAGTAAAGAAATTAAGTTATTTAATTGATATATTTATTTATTTTATTTCTATTTATGTATGTAAATTATTTTATGAAAAGTGGAAAAAAGTTCAACTAGTACACCTAATATGACATTAATGTAGTGAAAAGATTAAGTAGCCTAATTCTGCAATATTAAAGCATGATATATCTGGCTCAAGTTACTTATGTCAGTTCTCTTATTCAATGCATTAGGATGTTTTAATATTGAACACATTTCCAAAAACTGTCTTTTCGCTAGATTGCGTTCAGTGGCAAGAATCTTAACTTCATTAAAATCCACTTCATGTTTTGTATTTATCGCATGTTGTGCTAGAGCACAAGTGTGTTTCGATAAGTTAATGTCGCTACGATGTGAAGTGAGACGACCTTTCAATGATCTACCAGATTGCCCAATGTAACAAAGATCGCAATTAGCGCATGGAATTTTATAAATTGTGTTCACTTGTTCCAAAGTGGACAAGGGTGTTTTAGTTTTAGAGAACAAATTTCTAACAGTTTTTGCATTCTTAACAGCAATTTTAACAGGTATATTATTTTGTTTATACAATTTAATAAGCTTCTCAGTAACTTGAGGGAAATATGGTAAGGAAGAGTAATGCGTGATAGTATTCTCAAGATCGGTATTATGCAGAACAGTGCTATTTATAGAATTATTAGAGATGTTTATAAGTTGGTCACCATCGGGTATGTCATAAATTGAGGATCCATAACTATGTGAATAAAGGTATTTATTGATGATAGAGGAAGGATATGAATTCTCTATTAGAATATTTCTCAATAACTTAAAGGATTCCCTTCGATTAATTGGATGTGTCAATTTATTTAATCTAAAGCTTAAAGCTTTTATCAGGTTTAGTTTATATTTCATAGGATGACAGGAATGGTAGTTAAGGAACCTATTAGAGGCCATTGATTTTCTATACCAACTTGTGGTTAGAGTGTTATCTGCCATTCTGATGACACGCATGTCAAGGAAGGGTATACTATTGGTGGTAGTGTCCTCAAGTTCAACAGTGAACTGTAAATGAGGATCAAACTCATTAAAGTGGGATAGGGTACCCTGAACCTTGTCAGGTGGTAGGGCTAATAATAAATCATCCACATACCTTTTAATAAAAGGGATTTGAAAATCCAAAAGACCCAAACGGTCAGAAACCAAATCATCCAATACAAAGTTAACTAGGATGGGAGAGATTGAGGAACCCATAGGTGTACCAAATGTTTGAAGGTAAAATTTGTCATCAAAGACTAAAAAATTAGTGTCAAACACAAGTTGTAACAGTTCTGCAAATATATCCCAAGACACCGGGCAGTTAGGTTTGATAGAATTCCAATGGTTTTTTAAGGAAGTAATTACACTGGACAAAGGTAAGTTAGTGAAAAGAGATACCACATCAAAACTTACTAAAATGTACCCTTGAGGTAGTTGAAAATTGTTAATAAATTCACTAAAATTGAAAGAATCAACAATGTTGAAATCATTGTTGTAATTATATGATTTAGACAAGATGTCTGTTAGAAATTTAGCTATTTTAATATTAGGTGAGTTAATTGATGACACAATAGGTCTCATGCTCAACGTAGGTTTATGTATTTTAGGTAAACAGTAGAATCTTGGAGCATATCCATCATAATTATGTAAAGACTTAGCTAAAGGTTGATCTATGATCTTAATGTTTTTTAAATGTGTTATAAATTTATTTATTTTATTTGTGAATTTAGAACAAGGATTAGAAGATAGTGGTTGATAGTATCTATCATCATCTAACAGTGATTTACTCAAACTGAAATATTGATCTTTGTCCATAAGGACAGTAGCATTACCTTTGTCACTCGTAAGAACGAGAAGATTAGGGTGGGTTTTTAAAAACGATACCGTCTCCCTGTAAATCTTATCTAACTCTGATAAGGGTTGCCTAGGGCGTTTAGTGAAATTCAACAAGATGTTGTTCGAAGATGACCTTCTATCTCTTAGGTCATCTTCGAACAACATCTTGTTGAATTTCACTAAACGCCCTAGGCAACCCTTATCAGAGTTAGATAAGATTTACAGGGAGACGGTATCGTTTTTAAAAACCCACCCTAATCTTCTCGTTCTTACGAGTGACAAAGGTAATGCTACTGTCCTTATGGACAAAGATCAATATTTCAGTTTGAGTAAATCACTGTTAGATGATGATAGATACTATCAACCACTATCTTCTAATCCTTGTTCTAAATTCACAAATAAAATAAATAAATTTATAACACATTTAAAAAACATTAAGATCATAGATCAACCTTTAGCTAAGTCTTTACATAATTATGATGGATATGCTCCAAGATTCTACTGTTTACCTAAAATACATAAACCTACGTTGAGCATGAGACCTATTGTGTCATCAATTAACTCACCTAATATTAAAATAGCTAAATTTCTAACAGACATCTTGTCTAAATCATATAATTACAACAATGATTTCAACATTGTTGATTCTTTCAATTTTAGTGAATTTATTAACAATTTTCAACTACCTCAAGGGTACATTTTAGTAAGTTTTGATGTGGTATCTCTTTTCACTAACTTACCTTTGTCCAGTGTAATTACTTCCTTAAAAAACCATTGGAATTCTATCAAACCTAACTGCCCGGTGTCTTGGGATATATTTGCAGAACTGTTACAACTTGTGTTTGACACTAATTTTTTAGTCTTTGATGACAAATTTTACCTTCAAACATTTGGTACACCTATGGGTTCCTCAATCTCTCCCATCCTAGTTAACTTTGTATTGGATGATTTGGTTTCTGACCGTTTGGGTCTTTTGGATTTTCAAATCCCTTTTATTAAAAGGTATGTGGATGATTTATTATTAGCCCTACCACCTGACAAGGTTCAGGGTACCCTATCCCACTTTAATGAGTTTGATCCTCATTTACAGTTCACTGTTGAACTTGAGGACACTACCACCAATAGTATACCCTTCCTTGACATGCGTGTCATCAGAATGGCAGATAACACTCTAACCACAAGTTGGTATAGAAAATCAATGGCCTCTAATAGGTTCCTTAACTACCATTCCTGTCATCCTATGAAATATAAACTAAACCTGATAAAAGCTTTAAGCTTTAGATTAAATAAATTGACACATCCAATTAATCGAAGGGAATCCTTTAAGTTATTGAGAAATATTCTAATAGAGAATTCATATCCTTCCTCTATCATCAATAAATACCTTTATTCACATAGTTATGGATCCTCAATTTATGACATACCCGATGGTGACCAACTTATAAACATCTCTAATAATTCTATAAATAGCACTGTTCTGCATAATACCGATCTTGAGAATACTATCACGCATTACTCTTCCTTACCATATTTCCCTCAAGTTACTGAGAAGCTTATTAAATTGTATAAACAAAATAATATACCTGTTAAAATTGCTGTTAAGAATGCAAAAACTGTTAGAAATTTGTTCTCTAAAACTAAAACACCCTTGTCCACTTTGGAACAAGTGAACACAATTTATAAAATTCCATGCGCTAATTGC